ATTTAATAAAATACAATAAAATAGAAATGAAATTTGGCCAGAAAGAATCAGCTTTTTTGTCCCAAATGCCCTCTAATATAGCATAGATTTCTTACTCTCTAAATTTTATTTACAGGAGATGGAAATAAAAAATGACATTCTCAGACAGAAGTTTCCTCGTCAAGATCCTGCTTGAGAATTACTGTCCACTACATACAACTAGGTACTAAAGAAGGGCCTCCAAAGATGATCCTTACAATACCTTGATTTCAACTAAACAGGACTGTAAAATCCAAACAACATTTGGGACTAGATCAGATTTTATTCTGCAATAGTTCTGTTCTGCCTTATTCATAGAACCTGCCAAAAGAGCAGGGGAGGAAGGAATCACATTGTCTTTGATTGGTTATACTGCTGCTTCCCAGTACCTCTCCATTTTTTCCTAATCACAGAAAATATATTAAATGTATTAAAGAGAAGAAAATAAAATAAATATGCAAAGTTTTCATTGATAGTACAAAGAAGTAATCATCTAGGAGCACCCCCAACAAGTGCGTCTGCCATCAGTGATCAGCACTAATAATGTTATCGATTTGGGTAAAGAAACCAAGCAAACAGCCAAACTCAGAGAGCACCACAAACTCTACAGGGAGCTGTAAAGATAACATAAAAACTGAATTATATGATCCATGGGTATGTAGTCTGGATAATATTCCAGGGCAGTAATAATTACATTTCCAAATACTTTTTTTAACATTGGCCACACATAGTGCACTAATCTAACTTGGATACCAATAAAACCAGAGTGTTGCAGATCTGCCTTTTTCTTCTTTTTTTTTGAGGGCAGCATTTGATATGATAAAAAGCATTCCTGGCATTACCTTTGCCCACATCTTAGGCTAAATGAAGCAACATTAAAACACTATTGTATTTGAGTCTTCAAATAATCTTTTTTTTTTAAAAAAATCCTCTTTTTAATGAAAAGTGAAGTTGTGTAGAAAGAGACAGACATACAATTTCTCTTTATTATGATGGCAGGAAAAAATTAACCCCTTCGCCAGCTATAAATCTGGAACTTCTCCCCTGATAGTATGCACAGACCCTATCCAAAACAATCTGAAGGAGCCTCCACTAGGAAATGGTTTGTAATGAAAGACTGATATTTCCATCATAATTAGATAATAAATGTGGAACAAATGGGGCTATTAAAATGAAATCATATACTTAAAGCTTTACTACAAGATGGTGAATGTCCAGGATATTGTTTTCATTATGTCAGAAGTGCTGGCTCATTCATCATTTAAAACCCAAGTTGTTCATTACTGCCAGCATGCACCTTTGGACGGCTACCAAAAAGCCTGCCTTCATCTGTTCGGACTTCAAATTGGAAGAATGACTTACAGTAAGTGGTCTGAAATGCCAAAAATAATCCCGATATTGGTAACATATGCATTTCAAACCTATTCTTGATGTTATATGAGTATAACATTTAACCTACGCATTTCTCAAATACATCAAAGTTGTAGAAACTGATATGAGTAATGTATATTAAAAATGTGAAAAAGTAGTTTTCAAGAAACAATACAATATTTTCAAAGGTGCTCCTCAGTATATATACTATGTGATTTCCTATGTTCAACGTATCTTAATATTACTGCTGTTTTAGAGTATGAATTGAAAAACCTTGGCTGGGAGTTTGAATATAAAACAGGATTTCCCATTTAACATGTTAAGACTGAATCCAAGTCACACCCCTTCCCCCTGCCTTATGATGAGAAAGAAATGGGGTCACTTCCAAATATCTGTAATGTCTGTAAACTGCCTTGAGAACTCAGGCATATATAAATTGCACACATAAATAAAATAAGCAAGTGATTGGCTATAAATACATTTTTCTTTCCCAATACTGAAACTTAATAACATGGGCCAAGGTATGTCCATATCCATCCCCATGGGACCCAGATCCCAGGAAGGAATCTGGGAAAGGGTCTCCCTCATATTTCAGAAATGAATTGTGCTGTTTTCAATAATTTCTCAATTTGAGCTCTATTTTTCTTAATAATTGCAATTAGTCATATGGATATGGATTCCAGGGATAAATAACATACAAATCAGAAGAATATATATACACGAACTAGAACATCTTATCCATCCATAGACTCTTACATACTTGCATTTTGCAATCATCAGTGTCTTGCCTGAAGCATGATAATATATGTATATAAAAGTTCCTTAAGTAAATTACTGTATTTTCATTGTCTGGAAGAAATCCTTGCTTTTGTACCTATAATCTTCCATGGCTTCCAAGTTGCTCCACACCTACAAGGCATGCAAGGGTTCCATGGCAGACAATGTACAATTTGATGGTGAGTGTTAGAAGAATGCAAAATTGAAATTATGTTCCTTTGTGAGTTTGTTCCAATTCTAAAAGTTCTTCCTAAATGCAAATGGAAGTGACAAGAAGAAGTGTGACCAAAATTGGATGCACTATTCCAGGTGTGGCCTTACTAAGGCTTTATAAAGTGGTACTAATACTTCACCTGATTTTGATTCTTTGCCTCTGTTTACAAGAATTGTATTCATTTTTTTGACTCCTGCCGCACATGGCTGGCTCATGTTTAAGAGATCATCCACTAGGACTCCAAGGTCCCTCTCACATACTGTTTTTGAGCCAGGTTTCGCCTAATCTGTACTTTCCTGCCCAGGTGTAAAACTTTCCTTTTCTCCACATTAAATTTCATTTTGTTGGATAGGGCCCATTGTTAAGTCTCTCAAGATCTTTGTGGGTCCTGAGCTTGTCTTCTGTTATGAAGGAGTAAAAATATCAATGGAAAATTAAAAGGATTTTGGTATGCTAGCAGATTTTAAGATTAATGAGATACATTAGTAGTGATAGTAATTTTTCTAATAGATAAATATAATAAATATGAATTGTATGATATTTATTAAATTTAGAAACTGCCCATCACCTTGACAGCGTGTTTCTGGGTGGTGGTTGTGGCCCGACAGCTGCCAGTGGAGTTGGTGGCAGAGTCGGACGATGAGGAGGTTGGGGAGGAACATGGGCCAGTTCTGGAGTCTTGCTCTGAGTCAGACACAGAGATAGAGCCGGGGCCGTCCAACATTTCCCACCGGAGAGGCAGCTGCCTTTGGAGGTTGATATGAGTGAGGAGGAAGAACAGCTGGCGCGTGTTCCAGATGCATGTATGCGCAGAGCAGTTAGAAGAGGTGAGCAAAGGAGGAAATAGAAGGAAAGGGGAGTAGTTGTCGTAGGAGACAACAATTCGTATTTCTGAAGATTTTGCTCATTGTGTGTCACGCCACAGAGACTGCCTGCCAGAACTTAATTTGAACTGATAAGGTCTGTTACTGTAGTTAACTCCTTGAAGGACTATTGCCTGGACTTTTTAGTGGGTGAATGCAATTAATTCACAAGAGGTAAATAAAGAGAGGTTTTTCATGACAAGGAGTCTCTTTCTTGCTTCTGCTAAGGCTGGGTCAGAACAGTGATCTACAAGTAAAATATTAAAACAGAAGCAAAAAATTTCAACATTAAAATTTAATGAAAAGGTGGGTGGGCTTTCAGGGTGCTAAACAGTCCCATGGCCCCTGTGAGCGCCAAGCTAAAGGGCAGAGCCAGGTCTTTAGGCATTTCTGGGGGCCCATCTCACTTCCTGGAAAAGAATGTTCCAAAAAGCAGGGGCAACAGTCAAGAAAGCAATGGCATAATTGTGTTAATACATGAAACATGTTAAGATGGTAGAAATTAAAATTGATACTGTTGAGAATTTCTGTGATTAAAAATGAATGTTTTACCTAGAACAATGATTTTGTTTCAGATGGTGTCTGTTTTGACGATTGATGTATTTTCAAGCAATGGAAAAAAGATGTATCTAAATGTGAGAAAAATGAGTTAAATATAAAATATTCTAAGAGCCAATTTAGCCTAGTGGTTAAGACACCAGGCTCGAAAGCATGAGAAAGCAGGACTGCGAGCGTAAGTCCACCTTAGCCATGAGAGCCAACTGTGTGACTTTGGGCCAATCACTTTCTGCCCAACCCAAAAGGAAAGTAGTAGTAGGAAAGTGTGTTGGGTATGTTTAGCACCTTGACTTATTTGTTAAAATAATAAAACTGGGACAGAGATAAATAAATAAAATAAAAGAAAGAGGAGAACTGGTCTACCGAATTTGAAATTTTATATTGCCTTTGTTGTTTGGTTTGGAAGAAGGAATGAGTGTTGCTGAGAAACAAAAGATTTTTAAAGTTAGATTATGAACTGAATTTTGGATGGCATGGATGTTTATGGTACAATAAAAAAGTGGACTGTAAAAATCACTTTATTAGATATGCCATATTGAGAATATGGAATAAATATAAACATTCAAATGAAGTCAGAACATTTCCTTTCAGGACTGATGGATATACAGTTTTTTAAAAAAATCATGGAAGAGTATGTCAATATAAGATTACTGTGGCAAGATTATTTTATTCATAAAGATGGAAAGATCCAGAACTACCCAACATGGAGGAAATGGGTTAGTGAAACTGAGGGAACCTGATGACAAAATTGACAAAACCTGACTGGAGAAAGAACATTATCGATATTCATCAATGACTAGAGGCCCCTTTTGGTTTTTTTGTGTAAAAATGATTTTATGCCATTAGAAAAATCATAGAAAAAAGGGGAATAATAATATCTTAAAGAGGGTGGTTTGATTAGAATATGTATAACTGTGAGAGGAAGATCATAAGTCACTTCTTTATATTTCTTTTTCATGTTTTCTGTTCTTTTATTTTCTTTTATCTATCTCTTTTTCTCTTTCAGGTTTATCTTTTTCTTTGAATGGATTTGTTAAAGATGTAAAATCTTTTAATAAAAACTACAATATTTAAAAATTTCTAGTTTTTTTAAAAAATGTAATGTATTCTAAACAGTTATTCATGAGCATTATAGAATGCTCATGATTTCTAGCATAGAAATCAATTTCTAGCATAGAAATTGAATTAGATGTTCTTACTTGCTTCTTGATTACTGTATGGCCATCCAGGGGCAGTCAGAAAGGGTGGCACTGGTGAAGTTGTCCGGCTGTCCTCTCCAAGTTGTTGTGTGATATGCCGCACAGTGTCCTTATTTTTTCTATTCTTTCTACGCCTTGTAGGCTGCCACCCATCTGTAGCTCCTTGTTCTGAGAAAGCATTTTGCATTGCACTGTTTTTGGCAGACTGTAATTCATTCACTCCATAATGAGCAGGAGAGATCTGTTCTTCTTTGACACGCAAAGTCCCATAGGCCAAATCCGTAGACCAAAGAGACTGGGATGAAATGTCCTCGTGACTATCTGATTTTGGCTCCTGATCCTCTTTGCCACAGGTGCTTCCTCCTTCGTGACAGCTAGCAATAGCTGAATCTCCAGAAGAGTTTGCCGGACTTGTCCTTCGAGCCAGCCAGGGAGAGATGCTCCTCCCAGCTACGACAGCAGAAATCAGAGCATCCGTACTGTTGCTAGAGGAAGCCCCAAACTCATAATCAATAAGGTCATCCGATGCATCAGACTTTATGCTTATGTCAAGAGCAGCCTTTATGAAATTGTGGCAAGCTTGCACAATCTCAGTCATTTGAAGATAGCTGGCAGCTGACATCACCTCAATAACATTCCTGCTGGTCAATGCAAGGTGTGCCGAGTACATGAAGTCAATGATTGCTTTAAAGCCCTGTGCTGTTACAATATCCAAATGAGTGACTGTGGCTTGGTCAGAGGTCTTCTGCACCTGGCAATACAATGTCTTAAAGTAACGACTACTCCCAAGCAAAATATTTTTATGAGCCTTGAAAATCTTTCCTTCCACTATAATACAAACATCGCAGAGGATACCATGCTGCCTTTGTTCGTTGAGTTCCTGAAGCAGATGATGATAATGGGAGGCAATCTCCATGTCTTCCTTCTGATGATTCATTTAAAAGTATTTGCACTCCCACGTCTGCACACTCTGTGAGGAAGAAAGAGAGAGGTTAACACCGTTGACACCAATGGACATTTTTCTCTCAATGCAGACAGAAACATCAATGCCAAACATCCTGGGGGTCGTTAGTGGGAGGGAAAGGCTAAAAACCAGTATATCTGCTAAAATTCCTGTAATGATCAGCATTCTACATTAGTAAAACCATTTCAAAGGCATATTTACAATGGGTTTGATTCAACTCTGACAGATGATTTCATCAACTATTATTGTTGTTTAAAAGCTGAGTTATAGGGTATTGAAATAATTACCGTAGCATTTTGTACTATCTTTCAAATATAATTAAGAAAAGAATGAGCAGTTTTAAATTCTAAAAAGAACTTATAGTATGCAAAGATTATATCAAGCTACTGCTGAAATTGTCTACAAATGCAGATTCTGTTTTTCCAGAGAGATAGCAGTAGCTGTCAAGAAAGCAATTACACCAGCAAACTATGTACTGAGAGAGCTATACATTAATTCACTTCAACCTCAATTTATTTACACCTTCAGGTGAACAATCCTTATGGTAACCAGCATAAAGTAAGCTATGTCTTTTTCCCTTTTATTGTTACAACTCTTAATGCATTTATTACCTCAATACAATGGTATTTGTGCAATATTGATTATATAAACATACATAACGTTTAGATAACTTGGAATATGAGAATATGGGAAATAAAAATGTCCCTCTGTTTGTGACACTCAAGCAAGGAGCATGTTGCCATTGCTTATACTACTTAAACAAACAGTGTATCATGCATAAAAATATAAAAAAGAGGAGGGAAAATCTTAGATAGAAATGCAAAGCCATGAGAGAAAAGTCTTCAATCAGGAGTCTTACATTATATATTAAAACAATACATATACAGGTAGTCCTCGAAATACAACACAGTTGTGCCCAAAATTTCTGAGACATTTTTAAAGTGAGTTTTGCCCTGTTCTATGATCTTTCTTGCCACAGTTGTTAAGTTAGTAACACGGTTGTTAAGCGAATCTGACTTCTCCATTTGCAATGCAGCCATTATAAACATGAGTCAGTTGCCAAGCATCTGAATTTTGATCAGGTGGCCTTTAGGAGATGCTACGATAGTTGTAATTGTCATGAGTCACTTTTTCAGTGCCATTGTAACCTTGAACAGTCACTAAATGAACTGTTGTAAGTCAAGGACTACCTGTAACAAGAAGCAAGAATCGGGAAACATTTAAATATTCTGTTACAACAAAAAAGAAAATGCATAATTTGGTATTACATCCATATAATTATGATTTATACTGTTATTGTTTCCTGATTGCTTATTTGTACCCTATGACTATCATTAAGTGTTGTACCTTCTGATTCTTGATGAATGTATCTTGTTTTTTATGTACACTGAGAGCATCTGCACCAAAGACAAATTCCTTGTGTCTCTGTCCAATCACACTTGGCCAATAAAGAATTATATGCCAAATGATCACCAGAAAAGCCAGATCTTCAAGGGGAGGGAAAATCTCTAGTTCCAATTGATAAGAAAGTTTTCCAAAGTAATAAGAAAGTCTAGGTCCAGGCCCTTGAAGTGGGCTTAATCTCAGCAAAGGGACTCTTAACATTCCTTCCTTTCCAGTTCTTACCAAATGTTGTAGACGGATTCCACTCACAACAGGCTGTCTGAAAGATACCAAGCCCCTAAGCCATATATGGCTTTAAGGCCACAGCCAACACCTTCAATTGCATGTGAAAGTTAACCAACAATCAATGCAGGTCCTCCAGAAAAGGTATTAAATAACCTTAGTGTGTCCATAACTAACTAGGCTGCCCCATGCCGAATCAGCTGTAAAGGTACTCCACGACTTACAACAGTTCATTAATTGACCATTCAAAGTTACAACAGCATTGAAAATAGTGATTTATGACCGTTTTCACACTTATGACCACTGCAGCATCCCTGTAGTCATGTGATCGAAAGCCAGATGCTTGGCAACTGACTCATATTTCTGATGGTTGCAGTGTCCTGGGTCATGTGATCACCTTTT